AGGATCTTCTAACTGTAGCAAAACATTACAATCAATCACAGCTCATCAATGATAGGCCATGATCTCACAGTCACAACAATTTACCAAGATCAGTGGGAAGATCTACAGTAATTATGATAGCCTAGTCAACCATGTCTTGTGGCTGCAGAACTTCTCTTCTAATTGATGGCAACCAGTTGCCAAGTTGCACCAGTACAAGGTGCTACACTGATCAAGCTCTGGGTCCTCTTGCTACTTTTCTGTAAGCTTATCCTGACAAGACAACATTCCTGCAGGACAGCACATGTCCATATGCTATTTCGGTAAAAGCAGCTTACTTGCAAGATGAGAAGGTGGAAAGTAGGGCTTAGAGACCAATGATAAGTACATGCATTTCCAGAGAGGAATCTCACAATGTAGCATTGCAGAAGGACAGCTTTTATTACATCCAACTGTAAGGGCTGTCTACACAGCCAAACTATGTAGGACTGCCCAAGCAGCCAGACAAGCAAGGAAACCAACAGACTAGGAGTGTAGAATAGAAACTGGAAGATGAGACCCAGAGACAAAGTACAATAATAAGCCAAATTCAAGAGCCCTGAATGCAATCCAAAGAGAAATACAGGACAAGAAGTTGGGGAAAGAACCATGAGGTAATAATGAGAACAAGAACAACAAAATTAACAAGGACTAGATTAGAACATTATTATGATAAGACTCAGGATACTAGGTTCAGGAAACACCAGGTAAGTGTGATCCAGAGCCCTCACCTGAGGTATATGAGAAATGTATATAAAGCTGAGGGAAGTGTGGAGCCCTAGGTACACTGGTCAGTCTGTGATTGGTTACAGCTCTATGTGTGGTCTGCACCTTTGCTGTCAGCCTGACCAGCAGTTAGAGCTGGTGGCGAGGAGATAGAAGTAACACCAACTATGGCTGCATACTCTAGCCTGTGATTTTCCTGCAAGCAGATTATATGCTTTTCAAATAAAATAAATATAACCAACACTGAGACTAACAATGAGCATTCTACATTGATTTTTAATATTTACAACTGAATTGTAAATAATAAAAATCAAGACAAAAGGCAAGACATAGTTTCACTTAAATCAGATAAGCAAAGTTAAGTTAACTGTTATTGCTCTTGTTCTTTCATGTTTTGAAAAAAAATTGATGGCTGCTATTCTGTTTTGATACACTACTAATACATGAAAGGTGAAAGGACATCCAGCAGAAAGATTCACATTAATAGGATATTGTAAGTTTAACTGTATTATGTTTCTAACAGAATCCATTAAAGATCCCCCAGGATTTCTCAATTTTTATTATTCCACATACAGATGCAGCCATTCAAAGTGAGCGGTACAGACACGTAACGGAGGTAATTGGCTACGGCGTCGCGCAAGATGACGCGGGGTACTGCGGTACGTGATTGGTTGACCGACAGGGGCACTCATGGTCCGTTGGTCTGTCGTAGAAAGACTTACAGTGCAGTAAACTTCTTTACTGTGCCCATTGTAGATATTGAATTTTACCACTGAAGGGAAATCTTAGTAGCTGAGCATAAAAAGAATAGGAGCATACTGTAACGCGTGTGAAGGCCATAAATGATATT